AAGAACATATTTCGATCATCTTACGTGGGCACGGTATCTAATAGTGGTCAAGGTGGAGTCCATTTTTTGTAACCACAGATTTTGCAGCTCTGCGGTCGTTTCCATTTTGTATCTCCTAGGGAATTTGTATCCAAGACGAATTCTCGTTATTACAGATTCTTTCCTTCTCGTCCATAATAATTGAGGCTGTCAGATGCTACCATACCAGGGTACAGATTCACTTATTTGTTCTATCCTCCTTCCCCCAGCTACTTTGTCACTGTGTTGTTATGTCTTATGTTACCTCTAATTTGGGAGAAGTTTTGGGTATGAAATAGTTTATATGGTCTCCTTCGGCGCCAACATATCTGATCGTTCATTTCCACGGATTCCAACGTGGGATGGAATCCACAAGAACTTGATCACCCTTTCCTGATTGGCTAGTATTTTCACAGCTCTCTTGACTTCACCGACAGTCCCTAGATTTTCTGTTTCTTTCTTAATGCCTTGTAGCAAGAGAATTATCTCATTGCAACTAATACGTATTAACAATATAAATTATTATTGTACAGTGAAGGTACTTTTGGTAATATCATACTTTTCAATATTAGATTTTAACAGGATACTAGTAGAGTTGTTGTTTATGGGTTTAATTCACAGCTCGTACACTGAACATACATAGCATCTATGTACTAGAAGCGAATTAACGTATATCACCAAATCTTCAGTTATTGTATATTGTGGTATCGGCTGGTGACACGAACTGCTGCTGGTGTAACACCTGCAGGTGACGCAAGTGGTCACCTGCGCACATTAGTGGGTTATTTATTTCCTATCACACGTGGTCATTCACTAGCTGATCGAAACAGTTGAGTGAAACCAAACCTCACTCCGAAATTGTGTAAAATGCAATGCCGTACGTCGCCTCTTGTCGAAATTTCCCCAGCATTGGGCTTACCGCACTTAAAATAATATAAAATGAAGCCTTAAGTATAATTGTGGGTGCCTTTAGATGTACAATTCATCAACATGAAAGAGCTCAAACTAATCACCAACTGCGAAAGAATTGTGCAGGTAAACACGATCTGTATCAAGGTCAAGAGAGAGATTTAGCCGTGCAAGTGCGGCCATCGACGCATCAGCCTTGTATACGAACTGATTGAGTAGAAGTTGCAGTGTTAAATGGGATTAATGTATTTGTACTGACTGAATTTGTGCGCCCCTTGAGGGACTTGAATTAGAGGGGGTAGAAATAGCCTAAGCTACTCTATTCCTTTGAGATGTATTTTTTCTTGTCTTAAATAAACATACTTGAACTTGAGTAGAAGTAATGACAACCTCTTCAAATGTAATACTAATTCTTGTGCTATGTACAAAAATTAGCTAATGATATTCCACTATCTACACCTATCAACGAAAAAGAGTAACGAAAATAAAGTGCATCTTGAAGCACCAACACTTGGCACTATCGATTTATATATATATATATATATATATATATATATATATATATATATATATATATATACTGTATATATACTGTGTATATATATATATATATATATATATATGTATATACTGTATATATACTGTGTATATATATATATATATATATATATATATATATATATATATATATATATATATATATATATATCACTAAGAACTCTTTGACCCGGCCAGGATTCGAACCCATGCCGTCCAGGATCACCCCTAAACGTACACAGTACCGTGACCACCGCACCAATGATCGTCAATGGCTTGCGCGTTCATGCAGCTTTCTCACACATATATTTCTCACACATATGTTCTGATATATATATATATATATATATATATATATATATATATATATATATATATATATATATATATATATATATATATATATATATATGTCGTACCTAATAGCCAGAACGCACTTCTCAGCCTACTATGCAAGGCCCGATTTGCCTAATAAGCCAAGTTTTCATGAATTAATTGTTTTTTGACTACCTAACCTACCTAACCTAACCTAACCTAACTTTTTCGGCTACCTAACCAAACCTAACCTATAAAGATAGGTTAGGTTAGGTTAGGTAGGGTTGGTTAGGTTCGGTCATATATCTACGTTAATTTTAACTCCAATAAAAAAAAATGACCTCATACATAATGAAATGGGTAGCTTTATCATTTCATAAAAAAAAATTAGAAAAAATATATTAATTTAGGAAAACTTGGCTTATTAGGCAAATCGGGCCTTGAATAGTAGGCCAAAAAGTGAGTTCTGGCTACTAGGTACGACATATATATATATATATATATATATATATATATATATATATATATATATATATATATATATATATATATATATATATATGTCGTACCTAGTAGCCAGAACGCACTTCTCGGCCTACTATGCAAGGCCCGATTTGCTTAATAAGCCAAGTTTTCCTGAATTAATATATTTTCTCTAGTTTTTTTCTTATGAAATGATAAAGCTACCTATTTCATTATGTATGAGGTCAATTTTTTTTATTGGAGTTAAAATTAACGTAGATATATGACCGAACCTAACCAACCTAACCTAACCTATCTTTATAGGTTAGGTAGCCGAAAAGGTTAGGTTAGGTTGGTTAGGTAGTCGAAAAACAATTAATTCATGAAAACTTGGCTTATTAGGCAAATCGGGCCTTGCATAGTAGGCTGAGAAGTGCATTCTGGCTACTAGGTACGACATATATATATATATATATATATATATATATATATATATATATATATATATATATATATATATATATATATATATATATATATATATCATAAGAAATATTGAGAAAATTCGTGTTAGAATTATTAATCTTACCATTTCGGTCATATTCAACAACAATAATATATATGCACAATAATAGCATATTGTGCATATATAGACATAGGTTAGGTGTTTAGATTCTGTTGCGATTATTTGTATTTATAGTACGTGGGTGAAGCATTAATAGCATAGTGCTTCGAACAAAATTCGTCAGTGAAGCACTTGTTCCGGAAGGGTTCGAACGAAATCAGTTGTGAGTCATGTGTAACAGCCTGTCCTCCAAACAAAGACCCAAAGGTGATTCCATGCACCCGCCAAACCCCCTGTTTATGAATGAAAAACGGTTTACATACAACCCGTCCTCGACTCAAGTCCATTACATCCAGCGGTCGATCCCACAGACGCATTCATAAATTTTAATTAATATGCTGTTCATTCAAAACGGGAATTTTCTCAAGTATAAATTAATATTATAATATATTAGCATATTGTGTATATATAGGCATAGGTTAGGTTAGGTTAGGTGTTTAGGTTCTGTTGGCGATTATTTGTATTTGTAGTACGTGGGTGAAGCATTTATAGTGTTGTGATTCAAACAAAATTCGTCAGTGAAACATTTGTTCCGGATATGTTCGAACGTCAGCAGTTGTGAGTCGTGTGTAAACCGCTTTTCATTCATAAACAGGGGGTTTGGCGGGTGCATGTAATCACTTTTGGATCTTTGTTTGGAGGACGGGCTGTTACATACGACTCAACTGATTTTGTTCGAACACTTCCGGAACAAGTGCTTCACTGACGAATTTTGTTCGAACCACAACGCTATAAATGCTTCACCCACTTACTACAAATACAAATAATCGCCAACAGAACCTAAACACCTAACCTAACCTATGCCTATATATGCACAATATGCTAATACTGTATATTATAATATTAATTTATATTTGAGAAGATTCCTGTTTTGAATGAGCAGCATGTTAAAATTTATGAATGCGTCTGTGGGGTCGACCGCTAGATGGAAATTGACTTGAGTCAAGGACGGGTTGTGTGTAAATCGTTTTTCATTCATAAACAGGGGGGTTGGCAGGTGCATGGAATCACTTTTGGGTCTTTGTTTGGAGGACGGGCTGGCTGGCCTCAGCCAAGTACTAATCTTGCCCACTACCGACCTTGCCCAGGATGCAACCCACAATTGGGTTGGTGGAAATAAATAGGAGTTGCTTCTTATGGGCCAATACTTCTGCAGTTACCTTCATTCTTATGTTCTAACAGTTGCTTAACTGTCGGTCTGTGAATGTCATGCATTAGTCTGTTAGAAGCTGTTCTGATTCTGTCCTTATAATATGTTAGATTAAGGACCTGCCCGAAACACTATGCGTACTAGTGGCTTTACAAGATTGTAAATACTATGCTATGTATTCTCACAAACCCAATGTACCTTCTTGTAAATAAATAAATAAATAAATTAGCACGGTACAGTGTCTGTATCATTACTTATTATCTTTATCTTTGGCTGGTATCTGTGTCATGTACTTATAAATAGTTTACTGATGGGCTTCTTGATATATTAAAGTCATACATTTACTGCATATTTAAAAGATTCTGAGGTTGGACAGCGTACCATAGGCTCCTCGCACACTGTTCTCTATGCGGTTCATAGGTGACAGTTTTCTAACGAGCAGCAGCCATGTATTTATTTATCAGAGTTCTTTAAAGCCTTTTCACATAATTTGTATGTTGCTTGTGGCTCATTTTTATATTTAACATTCCATAATGTGACATTTATTCACATTGTATTCACCTAGTTGTGCTTGCGGGGGTTGAGCTCTGCTCTTTCCGCCCGCCTCTCAACTGTCAACTGTTTCTACTACTACTTTTTTTTTCTTCCCACACCACACACACCCCAGGAAGCAACCCGTGATAGCTGACTTACTCCCAGATACTTATTTACTAGGTAACAGGAGCATAAGGTGCTAGGTAACAGGGGCATTGGGTGAAAGAAACTTTGCCCATCGTTTCTCGCTGGCGCCCGGGATCGAAACCGGGACCACAAGATCACGTGCCCAGCGTGCTGTCCGCTCGGCCACCGGCTCTCCGGCTTTTTTTTTTTTTTTTTTTTTTGTGCATGCGTGCGCGCACACACAGGAAGGGTGAGGGGGGGATTTTGATTGTTGGTTATTCTAACAAGTGAAGGTTAAATAAACTAGACATTGTTTCATTCCAGATGATGCTGAGGACGAAGAAGGGGATGATTTTGAGACAGCCATCAGTGCCACTGGTGAGGTCTTAATGACTTGTTCAGTATTAATTACATTTGCAGTTTGTATATACCGTAGATATATGTGCATGGTAATCACGGGATGAGAGCTACACTATTGGTGTCCCGTCTTCCCAGCACTCTTTTGTCCTTTGAAACTACTGACTGTTTTGGCCTCCACCACTTTTACACTTAATGATATAGCGAAGAGAGTCACGGAAAAAACTCTTGTTGATGTTGTATGTCAGTTAACCTTGAAACAAATAAAAACAAGAATCAAGATTATCCAAGAGGGTGAAGGAATGGTAAAGAGAATGACAATGGTGGACAGTAGTAACACACTTAAGAATTATTCAATAATATATACAAATTCGTCCTTCACCTATGGTAGAGGAAAATCTACTTGGAAGGAATCAATTTACATAAGATTAAGATTAGGATACAAATATATCTGGCAATACGGTGTTGATGTCAGTGAAAAAGATAAGGAGTGTAAATTATGTAGTATGCCGCATGCCCACACCTTAGAACATTATGTTATGTATTAGAGTGTCAACTGTTTGATAACTATAGAAATAAGAAAATAAGTAGTGTACCACATCAAATTGTTTGGATGTATGATAATGGTATGATAGACAGAATACTTAGGAGCTGCAAGAATTTTGCCCCAAGAGTCTAACACTTATATGCTGTGCTTACTATATTAACCTGCAATGTTAAATGGGATTCTTGTACTGTGATTTGTGTATTTGTATTCACTGAATTTGTGCGCCCCTTGAGGGACTTGAAGTAGAGGGGGGGGGGGTAGAAATAGCTTAAGCTACTCTATCCCTTTGAGATGTATTTTTTCTTATCTCAATAAATATACTTGAACTTGAACCTTCACACTTCACTTGTTGCAACCGTCTACCACTGCTGTGATTTGCTATTTAGTTTGTAAATTTGGCAGCTATTATTTTCAGCATTTAAATCTTTTGAGGGGTAGTATAACATGATGGATGATATACAGTACAGTATATCAACATAAGATGCTTCTTGTTTCTGGTTAGAATCTACTGTAGTCACATATTTATTTACAGGCTATGGATTTTTCCACTACTGGCTTCTGGTCATTGGAGGCTTTGCAAATGCAAGTGATGCAATTGAAATCCTGTGTGTGTCCATTCTTCTACCAGCAGCACAATGTGACTTAAACATGACTACAAGTGATAAAGGCTGGCTTAGTTCAATAGTCTTTTTTGGTAAGCTATTTTATATGCTTTTAGATATGTTGTATAATAGATTTCTGTTGGTTTGAACACCACAGCCAGTTCACAGATGAAAGTTTCCTGGTTCGATTCCTCTGGCAGGATAGAGGAGTTTGGGCAGGTTTCTTTTAATCTGATGCATCTGTTCACCCAACAGTAAATAGATACCTGGGAGTTGGGCAACAGTTGTGGCTGCATCCTGTAGTAGTTAGTCTAGGGAAACCTTGATAAGCTTAATGAGCTTTCTGTCCCCCCAAAATAGTAAACCATACAATTCTGTACTTTATATAAAATGTCTTTGATAATTTGCTCAGATTTATGCCTTAGCGTTTCTAATGTTATTATTATTAAAGTATGGAATTTATGCTCATTTTACATTAAACTGCTGTATATATTTTAATTTACATGGACCTTCAATTGTTTTGATAGTTTCTAAGTTTTCAGATTTGATTTAGTAAGAACATAATTTAATGGACATTAATTACACCAAGTTACATGATATTCTCTGGGTAATGGCCTTACAGTATATTAAGCAGTTTTGTGTTTTTATGGCATGATCAGATAGATAATTCAGTGGGCAGGCCATGTAATTTATTACTGTACTATATTTGAAATTTATTTTGGAATCATTGCAGGGATGATGGCTGGTGGGTACATCTGGGGCTGTCTTGGGGATATATATGGACGTCGAAATGTCCTAATTGTCTCACTATTGGTGAATGCCCTTGCTGGGATTTTATCATCTTTTGCGCAATCTTTTCCCCTATTTCTCTTCTTCCGGTTTATATCAGGCCTAGGGTAAGTGATCATTTTGAAATTTATTGCTATTTCTTCCCACACACTAAGAATTTATGCAGAAAATAATAAAAACTGAGATAAAAATTAACATTTATCAGGAAACTCAATATTACAGTATTGTACTGTCCTAAGAATCAGTCTTTTGTATAAGCCACCTCAATGTTATGTGCTTTATATGTAATATAGTTTATTTGCATGATTGGTAAATTATTTGCTCTCTTGTACAGTATTTCCTAAATTTTGCTTCATATATACAGTACAGTATATAGATATATACATTATTATTACCCCATTTCCCACTGTTGCTTTGAAGCAGTGTCCCTTCCTTTCAGTGTCCCTTTGCTGTGGCTGCGGTCCAGCCTTCAGGTGTTTCTAGGGGGTTCCTGGGTCACTCAGCGGTTGCTCGAGTAGCTGTGCGGGAGTCTGAACTTCGCTGTGCTGGTTTACCAGCGGGGCTGGGTCTGGCTTCGGCATCTGTTCTGGTTCTTTCGGGGACATCCCTTCCCCCCTTCGCTTGGTTTGGCCTCTGGGGGACTCATCTGCTGGAGTCTCGGGGTTTGGCTCTCCGTGTTGTTTACATCTGGGGAGTGTCCAATGTTCTGGCAGACAGCCTGTCTCAGTTCATTCCACTGTCCACGGAATGGACGGTCGACGCTGACTCCTTCAATTGGCTCTGCCGGATGTACGGGCTCCCGTAGGTGGACCTTTTCGCATCGGCATGGTCTCGGCATCTCCTGATTTATGTGGCACCCTTCCCCGATTGCGGAGGTGTCATGGTGGACGACTTTCGGCAGGACTGGTCGAGGTGGGGTTATTTATACCTCTTCCCCAGGTCCAGCTGTTGCTTTGGGTCCTGGCTGGTTTGGAGACTTACCTTGGGAGAGTCGTCCTGGTGGCTCCTTGGTGGCCGGCCCACCATTGGTTTCAGGCACTGTTTGCTCGGTGTTCAAACCCAGGGCGTTTTTTGCGGCTCCGCCTCTTTCAGCAGATTGGACCAGTCCGGTACAATGCTGGTTTGGTTTACTCCTCCGCTCTTGGCATCTGGTCTTTTTGACGTGGGTATGTCACCACTTGTATGGTGATCAGGTGGCTTCATTGATGGTGTCTCACCTGCGAGCTTCGTCTCGGTGACAATATGAAGTTTCCTGGCGTTCTTTTCGCCATTTTCTCTCTCTTCGTAGGTTGTCTTTGATTTCTGATAGGGTTGTTTTATCCTTTCTCTCTTGGCTTTTCAGAACTGTCATTTGATGCTCAATATTGTTGCCTCTTATTGTGCGGTACTGGCAGAACCGCTTCAGCTTGCGTTCGGGGAGGATGTCACTTAGCCGCATTTTGAAAGTTTTTTTGTGCATTGTTTCACCTCCGGCCTGCTCATGCGCTGCCTGAGCTGTCCAGGTCCTTGGACCAGGGACTCTCTTTTCTGTCTTCTCCTTGGTTTATGGCGACCACCCCATCAGTTATGGTTGTTTTTCCAAGGCTCTGTTTTTGCTGGCAGTGGCCTCTGGGGGTCGGGTTGGTGAGTTTCATGCTCTCCTCCAGCGCAAGGGTTTCTGCTCTTTTGGTCCTGATAGTCAGTTTATTCATTTGCAGCTGTCTTCTTTTTTTTTTTTATGGCGATGAACAAGATGTCTATGGGTCATTGATACTTGGTTGGTCAGTCCGGGGGTGCATCATGTGTTCATGTCCTGTTATGGCTTTTCGCCATTATCTGTGCACCTCGGTTTCTGACACCAGGGACGAGCTTTGTGTTGATCTGGTTTCCCTTGTTCCCTGTTTCAGGGCTCGGGTCTCCCAGGTCTAGCCAGCCTGCGGTCTATCCTCGCGCTCGTGCAGTTCGGACATTTGCAGCTTTCGCTGCCGTGTTTGGTAACGTGTCTTGGGCTCATTTAGGGGGCAGGGATTTGGAGGTCGTACAGGTTCGTGGCCGCCCGTTATTTTGTTAGCATGTCTGCTCCTGGGTGTTCTGGTGTTGCTTTGGGTCGCAGGTTGCAGCCTTTTGTCTCGACTTCGCGTTGCGGAATTTGTGGCGGCCGCCTCCCGGGTCAGCCCTTTCTTTTCCTTCTCTATGGGTATGAAGCTCCAGGGAGCCATAGGGGTTCCCCACAGAAAACCAGCGTTGAATGTAATGAAACGCCATTTTCTGGGTGAGCCCCGGAGGCTCCCTGGCAACCCTCCCTCCCACCAGTCGGCATTTTTTTTACGTTTGTTGAAGCTTAGCTTCCGAACTGGAGTGCTATGCAGCCGGCGCGGTGAGGTCTGGCCCCCCCCCCTCCCCCTCTCAGGGAGGGAGGGCTGCACGGACGAGCGGCGCAGCAGTAGCTTGTTTGCTTGTTTCCTTGGGATTGTAGGGAGTTCCTCTCTGTTCGGTTTTTGCTGTTAGTTTCTTACAATGTGGGGTTTGTTTTGTTATGCCTACCTTTCTGGGTGCCTAACCCCGGTCGATTTCAAATAAGGAAAACCCCAAATCGCGAGGGGGGGGTTTCCAAGGCCATTGCTCCCTGCAACATCTCTGAAGGGGCCAGGTTCTGGCTCATGGTCCATGGTAGGTTTGAACTCCATAGCTAATGTCCCGGTCTAATATAACATACATTAGCCCGATAAGCTCCAGGGAGTCTCCAGGGCTCGCCCAGAAAATGGCGTTTCATTACATTCAATGCTGTTTTTTTTTTACTTCTTCATATCCATGACATTTAATTTTTATTGTACAGTGGGGAGATTTCTTGATAATACTGTTTTCTGTGTCATTCCATGTCAGATTCAAATCACATTTTAGTTGTGAATTGATTTATTATATTTTACAATGAAATAAAATTATATAAATACATTATACTTATATATAATATCAATTGGTAAATATTTTATTCTTACTCTTTAGGGTTGGTGGAAGCATACCATTAGTATGGGCATACATCAGTGAATTTCAGCCTGCCAACAAGCGTGGTGGTGCACTCAGTGTTATAGCTGCCTTCTGGATGGTTGGAAATATTCTTGTTGCAGGCATGTACTGACTTTTGTAACCACTTTATTGCTATTTTTGGATTTACTTATTGCATTTATGGTAATACTTTTCTGTTATATACATTTTACTTAATAACAAAGATTTTGTCACTTTCTTCATCCTACGATTGGAACTCTTATTGCGTTTGTGGCGATTGTAGCTCATGAAGTCCCTCTTTTGGCCAGTGTTACCAAGACAGACTTTGGTGTTACAGGTTGTGTTTTGCTTGCATCACGTAGCTCATCCTTACCCCTCAGCACTCTCCATTTCCATTCCATGTGTAGAACGTTTGTGAGATATTCCCATGACTATTTGATTGTGTGATGCCCCAGCTTTGTTTCAACTGTTATGTTTGGTTTTTTCTCTAGCCTTGTTGGGGTACGACCATCCCTTTCATATTTTTCATATTCCCTGAGTAAGGGGTTCACACCACCTATGTATACGTCTTGGTATGATGTCAGACTGGTTGCGTGTCTGCACTGCCTGCTCTGGCCATATGCAGGTTCACCTGTAGGTCCTGATGTTGCACTCCAGCACTGTGGTCTTTGCTCCAGGACTGTGCTTTCCTGCCCTGGTGCTGAATTATCACTCTGGGCTCTGGACTGCATATCTGGCAGTTCTTGAGTGGCATGCCTGATTGTTTCCAGGTTGCAGATCATACTGCTTCCTCGACTGCCGGCTATTTGGTGAATGGACTGTATGACTTCTGAATCTTGGGTTGCATGTTCAGTACTTCCTGGGTTACTTGCCACAAGGTTTCTTAGATGTATGGCAGAAAATCCTTAAACTGAGGGCCTGGTGTTACCTGGAGTAGTGGCCCATTGATTATCAGGATTTCAGGCATGGCAACCACCAGGCTTGGAGCCCAGTGATTCCTGGGTTGGGGGGGCCTGGTGGTTTCCAGACAGGGGGCCCCTGGTAGTTTCCAGGGAAGGGACCTGGTAGTTTCCAGGCAGGGGGGCCTGGTAGTTTCTAGCCTGGGGAGCCTGGTGGTTCCTGGGCTTGGATCCCGGTGGTTCCCAGGGTAGGAAATCTGAATAAAAGATTGAAAATATGTTCTGGCCATGTATATACATTGAGAATAATTATGTCACTGTGTTAAACAGCTATTTTGGTTTTAAAGCATAAGGTGTTTCAGTAAGGTTAAATGCAAGTTGGTGATGGTGTGATGTAAATTTTCACTTCTTCGTAATGGTTGCTTCATTACTTTTTCATGAATATTAATTTTTATATTGTATTTGTTATGTCATATAAAATATTTAAGTGCATCCATATTAATTTGTGTTTAATGCGTTTGATCTTGCAGTGTTTGCTGTAGCGATCATTCCCTATGACATTGGCTTCGTGAGCCCAAGCTTTTCTTACAACTCTTGGCGAATCTTCCTCACGGTGTGTGCTCTTCCTGCATTCATGTAAGAAATTAAATGTTATAATTGATGTTGAATTACTGGTGTGTAATAGTTATACTATAGAGTCTACCCTTCACCCCAAAGTTCATTAAGGAGTGTTTTTATTAGGGTCTTTTTAAATGTCTTGAGGTGCTGAATTAAATGATGTACAGGCCTTGCTAGTTCTGCTTTCATCATAAAAAGTCATTAATGTCTGGTAATAATAATGATAATAATGTAAATGCAGCAGGCTACTAGATTGTTTGAGGAAGCTAAGTAAATTATAATTAATTTACAATTTCCAAATGCTATACAATTCACACTTGCTGTCAAACAACTACAAAATGTCCTCAGAGAGAGAAACATTGGCTTGCCTCTAGTTGCTCTCAACCTGACCCACAATTGGTGAGCTCAGCTCACAGTTGCAAACAATTGTATGATAGAACATGTCATGTTGCACCTCAACTAGTTAAAGGGAATTGCAGCACATTGCTGGGTTCATGCATAGGTTTGCATTTAATCATACATACATACACTCACATACACACACACACACCGGTGTGTGTGTGTCCGCTCGGCGCCAGTGGCCGAGCGGACATCCACAAGTCTTGGATGTTTAAGGAACATTGTCTCATGCTCAAGACCATCATGGTATTTCTGTTTTGTCATCTTTATCTTAGTCATGTGCTATTGATATCTTCCTGGTCACTGGATTTTGTTAGATTTTCTGTGTCCCTTTCCATTATGGTTCTGACGCTGAAAGTATCGTTCCTTTTGGCAGTCATAATAACTTGCTCTCGTATGTTCTATGGGGGATCTTATCATATTCCTGTTAAACTTCTCTCCTGTATTTCTTACAAACACGGCTCCATGTTTGGTTTGCACCCATTTCCAAGATATTTAAATTAGTCAGCCTCTTTCACTATTTTTCCACATCATCCAGTTACAATTTTTCCAAATAGCTACAAAATGTGTAAACATTTTTATTGGTAGTGTCTTCATTATCATTAGAATACTAAGGGAAATGTAGTTTTTAAATTTTAATGTAGACCAAGATACTCAAATTGCATTTACATGTCCAATTTCTAAAGTTTTTATTATACGGTACATATTTGCTTGTGTAATGTAAAATATTTTATACTTTCTTTCAGCACTGCCATATTAATGCTTTGGCTCCCAGAATCTCCAATGTACCTGCTGCTTAGGGGACGTCATGATGAAACTATAGCCGTTCTCCAAGAAATATTTGCTCAGAATAAACGGATGCCACCCACAAAATATCCGGTAAGATATGGTGTAAACAAAAATCAAGCTTGGACATAATGAAATACTCTTTTATTGTGGGGACCCAGTAGCTCCTTGAGCTTAGCTCTGGTTCCATTAAACATTAGCCTAATATACTAGGACTCTGAGAACCATTCGTCACCTGCTGGGAGCTAGAGCCAGAATCTGGCTCACTTTATGTGGCAAGTAGAACAGGAAATCAGAGATCAAAAACAAAATTAGGAAAATCCATCGGCAAGCATAGTGCAACAAAATAAATGCCTGCTTGAAAGAAAGCAGAAAGAAAGAAAGCTTCCAATGGAAGCCAGGCTAAATATTATTGTTGCAGGGTAAGTACCCTAACTGTGGTGTGCCTGACTACCACTCGATGGCAGGCAACAAGCATCAAGAGATGCGAGACACTGCCAGTGAGTAGAACCCTGACCCCATCAGTGCTGGGGTTAGAGCCTAAAAAAAGAATCCTGGCTGGAAATCGAAGAATGCTTGATGAGGCCTCAGATAGCAATGATCTGATGCATCTTTAAACAGCTCAAACAATGCATAGTGAGGATGCCACAAAACCAAAGCCTTCTATGCCCCCCAAAAATAAAAAGACTGCCCAACAGATGCTCGACAGACTGACAGGAAAATCAAACACTCGGTGACACCAGACTGGTGAACATGTAACTTCCACAGGGCTAGATGGAGGCTCTCCTGACATCCCAGACCAGGCCTAACCAAGTCTGAACTTGAGAGGGCACAATTGAGACCTCCTCCAGTTGACAAGAAACCCAAGAATGTGGGTCCCCAACAGATACACTAAAGAACCATGCAGGTCATTCTGGTGAATGTCCTGTAGGCCAAGTTCAAGCTAAACTGCAGAACATGTAAGTTGTTCAAGAGATGCCCCACAATGAATACCAGTCAATCCCTGAACTCTGGATGGATGGGAATGCACCCATAGGCATCTTGAAAATCTAGGAAATGAGCCAAGAACCACCCGAATTCTCCTAGCGAACCTGAGAAAAAAATGCTTTTATCTAGAATGCTGGGCAAGGAATGTACTTTTTGAGATTTTGTCCTTACCACTGTATGTTACTTAGTAAATCAGGCAATAACTTGGATACTCTGTCAACTTTAACCAACATTTTCTCAACTTTCTGAAAGCATAAATTTGTAAAGTCTGACTAATAGATTATATATATGTTACTAAAATCACCAGACAGTCTTGATGTGTCGTGCACAGCCATTTCTCGTTTAATTTGTTTAAATTCTACAGATTATTTATAATTTTGTTGATTTCTGATGTTCATATTTGCAAACCATATTGTAGTTAATACTGTAGTAGCTTTAGTAATTTTAAGGCAACTTTATTAGTTGTATTTTCTTTGCAGATTGTATTAATTAACCCATCTGGACTGAGAGTGCAAGCTACCATCAACCAGGGCTTCTGGAAGTCCTTTAAAAAAGCTTTCTCTCTTACTTTTCATCAAACCAATGCTCTGTTTGGCCGCTCTCTTCTGCGGATCACGGTTATCATGCTACTAATTAATTTTGCTATACAATTTGGGTACGTAGAAATGTTATATATATTTTTTACAGATTTTGCAGTTGGTTACAACTCATTTCAAATACCACCCAACCATAATTATGTACCTTGGTGCATCAACGTACTTTAGTAGTTAGTTTAGTTCATTTATTATGCACCCCATACCCATCTTGTGGGCGGTAGTGAAAAGGGGTTACAGAGGCACATAATGGGCTCAGGGACTGAACTCCACAATTCATTTAGCTAAGCAAGTTACAATCTTGATGAGCTAGTTACAAAATTCAATATAAGTCGTCACATCAACAATGGGTTCGAGATCGACCACAAGTACAGTTTCTAAATTAAGCAACTGACATATGTGAAGAGCTAGAGTCACAATTTATATGTTTGTCCTGCACACCGCCCCCCCATCCAGTGGGCAGCGGTGGATAGGTTACAATCACTTAATTACTACCTACAGTTTGCAAACTGGGGATAATTGGCTAAAATTTCTGGTAGCAGATCATTTTGAATGAAATATTTACACATCGCTGGAACATTGGTTATAGAATTGTCTCTAAATTCACATATCTTTTCGCACTTCATCACATAGTGACGGAGGGTGTGCGAATAATTTTGTTGACACAGTTTACATTTGGTCTTCTTATCCTTATCGCACTTATATTATTGTTTATATTATTAAAATAAGAAATATATTCCTTCTTATTATCGTTATTATTATATTATTGTTCTTATATTATTAATTAAATTATGAATTATCATCTAGTTCACTCAAATACATTCACCTCATCTCAAATGATCATTCACTCATTCAACATGATCAAACCATCTTGGTACTGTACACACTTGCTAACCTTACAATTCACTGTAGCCAGCAGAGGTGATCGGTGTAGTTGATTATGGATATAAAATATTGTGTAAACTGTAACTGCATCCAAAATGTCTTGGCTGTATACCATACGACAGTGATAAATATTTCATAATGAATTTTATCCATTTTATTTTAGCATATTTTACACAGTTGTCATATCACAGGTTTAAAGTTTAATGTTATATTGAATCACTGTTATAGGTACTATGGGCTCTGGTTATGGTTTCCTGAGCTTTTCAATCGCCTTGAGCAGTTCTACAATGATCATCCAGATGACAGGGTATGTGTAATTCTGAATACTTTAATGACAATGTTGTGTCAGGCATTAGCAATGTATGTAGTATAATGGGGGGGCATTTTGCCGAGTCAGGTGGTGTAGTTTGTGGCGCTGTATTTCAGCACAACACGCTGAATTATATTGGATTTCATTATGGTGAAATCCAATAATATGTATTCGATTTCATTACCAGCACTCACCAGAACTGCTTAGTGGTTCATTATGGTGCATACAAATGTAGATAGTTATATATAACATGTGTGTATATAGTGTTATAACAGCAAAAACTGTATGTTTTATTGTTCAATGAATATAATGTTGTGTGCATGTTAGTGACACAAATGTATGTGTACCAATGTTCTACAAGTTTTGTGATAAAAATAACTTTATTGATAGCCCAATGAATCATTGCATTTGAAAAAACAATGGTAAAAACATTAGAAATATAGAGAAAATAATATATTTAGTATGTGCAGTTACAGTTTTGCACAAAACATGTGGGGTTAGGATAAATCCTGATAACTGGTTACAAGATTATTACCTCCATACACCCACCAGAACTGCTTAGTGATTTTTGATGGTGCCTGAAAATGTAGATACAGTAGTTATATATAATGTGTATATGTAGTGTACTAATAACAAAAACAGAATGTTTCATTGTTCTAAGCACCTCACCCAAACGAGTGGGAGAGGGTGGAGTGAACGAATGCATCCTTGTTTCGAAAGATTTGATTGTTTACTTTGTTGTGGGAGTTCATCAAGTGGATTGTGAGTCTTCGGTCTCCTTTGAACCCAGCAGTAGTCTGTATTGGTTCACTGACTTTCTAGGTGCCTTTCCTGGTGAGGTGTCAGTGTCACCTGCCCTCTTCACCTCTGTGAAGGGGCCAGTCTCTGCCTCTGCAATATTCAATGTTGCATTGGATATGCTGTACCTTCATCAGCCCTTCGTGTATGCTATAAACGGCTAAAGCTTCCCAATTACAGTATACCTGGAGCATACCTGGAGAGGGTTCTGGGAGTTCTACTCCCGGAGTCCGGCCTGAGGCCAGGCTCGACTTGTGATAACTTGGTCCAACAGGCCGTTGTTTGGAGCAGCCCGCAGGCCCACATATTCACTACATATCTTGATTTCTTTTATTTTATGTTTTCTTTTAATACATTGCTGTATATGTTGTTGTATTTATTTGCAGGTGAGTGTGTGCAAACTCACAAACTTTCAGGGAAACAATACCATTGAGCAATCCCCATGTGAGTCAAATGAGCCAGCTGTGGATCCAAAAGCTCTACTCAATACACTCATCACTGCTGTAGCTCCTCTGCCGTCTAATTTGTGGACCATTTTCTATATGGATAGCCTTGGGAGGAAATTTTTTCTTGGTATGTGAGAGGCTGTGAGCATTTATTCATGAATTATTTGTATTATATAATATACTATATAATGTCATTAATATTATTTTAGTACAATTCTGTATATGGCTTTGACTATTATAATAAGCAAGATATTTGCAGATAATTTTAGGGTTTTAGAAGTAGAATAAAATAATGATGGTGGCAGCAATGACAACTACAACTACTACCTATTCTTAAAGCTCTTTTTATGTTAAGATTTTGTTTGATATTGTTAATCTGATCAAGCCAATAATTTGGCTTGATATGATATCTCAAAATAAAACTTGTGGGGCATCACTACGTCAAATTTATCAAAGCTCATTGTATAGTATCAGCAATGTAGACCTGTTAAGATTTAAAGGTTGATTGTGTATTAAAAATGATTTAGATCTTGGGATAATTACAATGTAGGTTTAGACCATTCAGGTTATGATCTGGCAGATTTGGAAGTAATCCATTTTGAAAACTTAATAGAATAAGGGAATCAATAACTGTGAAGAGTGCAGTATTATTAAATAAAGACATGAGTGGTAGAAAAATTCAGGACGAAGTACTGGATCTAGAACATAGGAATCATTTCATAATATTCTATTAGTATAACAGTGATTGTAGAGTTTGCCAAGTAGGAAAATTAAGGATGATCAACTAGGTTATGATGGTGTTTTTAACCCTGACTTCATATATCTCAGCCTTCATTGTGGTGCTCTCTGTAGGGCAGTTTTTAGTACATGTTTTGTATAGGTGACTACTAACAACCTTTTCCTCTCAGTTTTCAGTATGGTGCTCTCTGGTTGTGCAGCATTTGGTGTATATTTTGTGAAGACAGCAACTGACAACCTTATACTTGGCTGTGTTTTTGGAGCTGTCTCAACTATGGGTTTCAATGCTCTTGACTGTCTTGGTGCAGAACTGTTTCCCACACATCTACGGTATGGTTTAGGGAGTTTTATATTATTTTATTTTTGTTAAAGAACTGCTATTGTTTTGGACAGTGAGTGTGTGTGCAATTGGAAATACTCCTTTCCATTTTTCACTAAGAAACAAATGAACATTTCTGGGGAAGCCCCTTGGTGACTCCTTGAAGCTATGTCACTGTTATAGGTTACCAATACTTAGTCACATCAGTCATGGGCATCCTGTTGTTCTTCTGTGGACCAGAGCCAAAATCTGGCCTCCTAGAAAAAGAGGCACAAGGAGCTGGAGATTGTTACAACCATCCTCAAGAAAGTACCCAGACAGCTGATCAGAAATTACAGACAACTGCTTGGTTCATGGAAAAAAAAGCACTGAAAATTCTAACAGACACAGGAGAAGAGTCACTCAAAACAATATGGTTCATAGGAAACTGGGTAAGAAACACCCCAAGCGCATATGTCCCAGCCAAGCTGGCATTCCAAGCGGTCAGTTGGAGATGGGTTACAAAACCAACACACCTAGTAGGGGGAAAAGAAGGGAGTTAGGGAGCCACTGGGGTTCACCCAGAGAGGGGTGTTTATTACATTCAGTGCTGGTTTTCTGAGGCAATCCCTTGGTGGCTTCTCTGAAGCTAACTAACAACAGGGAAGAAGAAACAAATGGAAGTTACCAGAAAAGATGATAGGTGACAGTTACAAAGTTGAAGAAGAAACACCAGGCCAGGTTACCTGGTCCAGGGCAACACAAGACCAAATAGGACTTGCCAATAGTAAGTCTGGAGGCTAGACTTACCTAGCCTCCAAGACCCTATTAGGTCTTGAAACCCCTGAGGCGGAATATCAGCTCATGACATATTGGCGAAAACTGGCTAAAGCCAAGACCTTATGAACATCATGGACCCTACAGTAGACCATAGATTGGCTGGCTTTAGTGTGTTTACTAGGTTAACCTGGGTCGTTGTGGCTTGGCTGCATCTCTCTGGGGAGGTTTCGTGTTGGACTACCTAGATGATTTGCTGGTGTTGGCCTCGCAGTCAATCTTCCCCAGTTAACTGGGTTCAGGTTCCTGGTGAACTGGAGGTTCAAGAGGAACTGAAGGTTCTGGAGGTTCGCCCAATTGGTTCCATCTCAGGTTCAGACTTGAATAAGCATAGTTTGGGACTCTTGGCCAGTTTCTAGGTCCCTGCCTTCGATGGCCTTGCTTAACAGCTTCGTCAGGTGAGTCGTCAGTTGGTCGAGCTGTGCGCAGGAGCCAAAATTTTGCATGCATGGTTTTCCCACTGGGCAAAGTTTGACTTCAAGCATTGTACCGGTTTTCCTGGTTCTGACTGTTATGCTACTACCAGTACCAGCGGGTTTGGGTCCCATCTACCTTTTGCCAGCTCTTGCTTCTGTAGCTTCCCTTTCAGGCTTTTTGGGGGGCAGTCATGTGATGCCACTCTTCCCAATAACTCAGTGCCTTGGCTCTGGGTTGGTGCTTTGTGGCCAGTGCTCACCACCACCCAGGGTCAGGGGTGGGGCTCATTCCTTTGGGTGCACAGTACAAGGCATGGTGGAGGCCAAAACTGTCAGTAGTTTCAAAGTGGTATATGACAAAGAGTGCTGTGAAGATGGAACACCACGAGCATAGCTCTCATCCTGTAACTAGACTTTGGCAAATACACTTAGGTAATTATAGGTAACAAATTAGACTTAAGTTGCCACATACAAAATACACTCCTATCTCCAAAACATGAATCATATCATTCTGGATCCAATCCAGATTTCCAAATAATTTTCAATTTTTTCTTGTAGCAAATGATATAATAAATGTTTCAGCATATACAAAAATATATAACAAATGTATATATTAATACATTATTTAACCCCACCTAACCCACAAATCTGAAAACAAAGGAGGTGACAACATTTTTGTCCATCCTGGATCATTGTAAAATTTTCAGACTTGTGGGTTGGGTGTCTAAATTTTTAGGCACGTTACTGTGACTTATATCTTGTACATAAATAAAGAAGTTATATGCATATAAATAATAATTATGCCATTAATTTGTTTACTGTATTGCCTTATTTTTTGAGGGGAGCTCCGTTGGCTCCCTGGAGTAAGGAAGCCTCTAGGGCTCACCCAGAAAAAGGAGTTTCATTACATTCAATGCTAGTTTTTTAATGGCAGGCTGGCATTGATAACCCCGGTGCAGCAAAATGCAGTTATAATATTGGCATGATGTCTGTTATGGTTCTGTTAAATCTTTGGCCATCAGATTCTCAGTTCTCATGGTTAAGTGTTTAGATAGTTTTAATGCATTTTATGTAACCTCTTTTTCCACCACTGCTCTCTATTTTACCCACAAACTACTGCATATCTTCTGCCTCCTTTACTTATATTATGTCAGGAACAGCACTAGCACCAATATCATACTCCTCTGCCACCCACTGTCCTCCTCAGTTACAATCACATTTTTCTACTAACTTGGCTGCAACAAGCCAATAATGGTGACCTGTTTACTGGGCATTGAGCTCAGTAAATTCCATAGTGTCCATATCAGACTTTATGGCCAATGTCTTTTTGATTATGAAGTCAGACACTGATCTCAAATCTGGCCACTAAACCTAGCAAGATACTGAAAGAGAGGTTCTTTTTTACAGAAAAGTTTCTGTCGAAGGTTAAATCTAACCAAGAACTTTTGTTTCGGTGATCTCAATCCCGAGGTGGGTGGGACTGTGGGATGGTAACTATAATCCATATGATTGTTTTTAATTGTCCATTTGTTTTTTACAGGTCAACAGCCTTGGCTGTAACCTTGTTGGCTGCTCGAATAGGGGCTATATTGGGCAATGTGGTGTTTGGCTATCTTGTGGATGTGTATTGTGCTATTCCACTTTTTATGGTTGCTTTCCTCTTAATTGGTAAGTACATGTAATTATTTTCTTTACTGTGTAAATACTGTACATACATTTTCATAAAGAACTGTTAAAAATCCAGCATTGAATGTAATGAAATGCCTCCTCCTGCTGGATCCTTGAGCTACCCACCTGTAATCCTCCAAGTCTTTGGGACCACACCAGACCTTCATGAACAGGAAAGGCCTACTGGAGACCAGATCCAGAATTTGGCCTCCTCATTAGAGACATAGGAAGTCAGGGGGATACAAAATCACCACAGTACTGAGGGAAAGACAACCTGAACTGTAATTCACAAAACAAACAGCTGCTTGGACAACACCTGCAACCCACATGCAAACTGTACATATTTGTTTTCTTGATCTGGCTGCTAGTTAGCACCACTCACTACGAGATTGTAGCCTCTGCAACTACAGCAGAAAAGATTGAATTCACATGCTCTGGTTGTAGGTGGAGTGGAGTCACAACATGGTGTGCTAAGACAAACACACCATAGATCAAACCAAACGGCTAAAACTTGTAAACTGTAAAGTACATTTGCTGAAGATGAACTGCCCAATGGTCCAGAACAGCCAGGAGGTGGGTCCCAGAAATGGACCTCAGCTGACAGCTGATGTGTCCAGAAATAAGGAGATCACGAGAGAAAGATACCATGGCTTTAAACTCCATGAAGCCCAAGGAGGTTAGTGGTAACAGAGAAAGCATCACAGAACTACCAATAATGGGACATGATGGCTCTTGCAGAGGTTTAGCCAACTTTCCCAGGAGAAACTGGGATAGTGCACTTAGCCAAACATATCCAGTGGGAATATCATGCAGGCAAAAGCAAGTTGTTGCACAACCACTTTAAAACTGACAAGGAATCCTGAGTGTTCCGAACTACAGAATGGAGGAGAGGTAACAAAGGTGACAGAACTGATGGCCCTGCCAGCAGACAGCATTTGTCCCGCCCCCTCCCCTTCCCCCAAATAAGTAGGAGGGTTGGAGTGAATGAGTGCATGCTTGTTTCTAGAGATTTGATCAGTTGTTTATATTGTTGGGGGAGTTCATTTGGCAGTTTTGAGGCTTCGGTCTCTGAACCCCAGAGTGGTCTGTATTTTTTTGCTGACTTTCTGGATGCTTTCCTGGTGAGGTGGTGAAGTGTCACCAGCTCTCTGTGCATCTGTGAGGGAGGGAGGGGAAAGGCCGGGTTCTGGTTCTGGTCCCTGGTAGACCAAACAGAAATTCACAACTGATGTGATTTAGTAGTTGAGAGCCATCTCAGTGTGATAGCTTCAGGGAGCCACAAAGGGCTTTCCACAGAAAAGACCTCCCCACAACCTTCAGGAAAATGGGAAACAACCAGGGCACAGCCTCCACCACAACTGCTGCAGGAAAACAGTGCAGCCACCTTCAATATCTCCAAAATATCCACTCATAATTGAACCCCCCCCCCCTTCCCGACATCAACTACTGGATCTGCAGAGGAGCCAAGGCACATGCACTACCAACTGTCAGGCTCCTTGTTAGGAGTGGATCTCAAGGGGTGGATTCTCAAACTCTCCTGGAAGAGTACCCTGACCAAATTCAGGGGCATTGCTTGTGTCATCTAGAGAAGGCAACTCTGGCTATATACTTTACAACCGAGGTGAACAAGAAATTGGGGGTATATGTTACAAGTTGCCACAAAATAGCACTCATGTGAAGCCTGAAATAGAACAAATATAACAAGTACATGTCCTTGCACAGGACAAGGTCCAAAAAAGGAAGCCAGAACTTAGCTGAGAACTAATGACTGCAGAGCTGTGAGGTATCCGGAGGAACTGCACCAAATGTATGAATGACCGGTAGCTAGCTGTGACTCTCTAGTTGCTGGAGCTGTCATCTGGCTGTGAATAAGGTGTGCTAACTAGTAGCTGTACCGAGACTACAAGTGTGTACATTGTTCACATTAAGGTTACAAATGTTGTCTAACCAGTTTCTTGTTTTATCTTTGTGGTAGATTTCCCTTTGTTACTGTGGTGATCGTGTATCCCCAGACTTCCCTATGCCTTTATTGAAGGGGAGGGGTGGGGGGCAAGATTCTGGTCCCAGTTTCTGGTAGGTATAGGTGTTTTGTTGGAACTTAGTGTGGTACACTACGTTTGGAGGATACCAGGTGGAGAGGTCGGGAAGCCACCGAGGAATCCAATAAAAGGTTGAGTTTCCTTACATTTAAAGGTAGATTTTCAACCTTTGGTGAGAATAATATGAACAATGAGGTGCTGCAGTGAAAGGGCTGAAGAACCAGAAATTCTATAAATAAATATTGTAACAGTTATTTATAGATTGAGTTCATTTTGGATTGAATTTCACAGTTCATAGATATAATAACAGTATAGAGAGTATTAATATGGTTTTATTATTTTGCAGGTGGGGGACTTCTTGGACTTTTGCTTCCTAACATGACAAGGAAGTCTTTAACTTGAAACAGGATCATTACCAATCTATAAAGACGAAGACTGGCTTTACTGCCATATATGTAAGCTTGTGATATCAGATGCAGCTTGGTTACATATTGGTTTTAGTTTATTGGAAAGCATAGCAATTTTCAAATTATTATTAGTGTCAGACCTGACATAGTAAAAAAAAAAAAAAAAAAAGAGAGAAAAAGCAGAAAATGTTAACAATGCTGCAGAGCAACATCGTGATGAAAGTAGATGTGAAAGGTAGATTGTTTTGTCTGTAAGTGCTTTACCAAGTCTAACGGAGAGTCTAAATTCTATAAACACAGGACTGGTGTTATAAGAGGGTCAACACGGAGGAGTGAGGTCAGTCAGGTGGGTTGAAGTCAGTAGTGTTATCAACACAATGGACACACACCAGTGTTGCTGTTGGTTCCTGTGTGTGACACAAGTGTTGCTGATGTTATCAACATGTCTTCTTAAATTATTGATCACCCTCTTGTGATTGAACTATATTTAGGTCTTTTAAATACAGGTACTCATAATCTGACATATGATCCTTCATCTTTCAAGACAATAAATGCGGTTCGAAGGGCTATAATACTGGCAAGATTTTGGCTTCTTTTACTCCCTCATTTTGTTTGGAAATGAGGTTCATGTTCTCACACTACCTGACTAAGGCTGTGAAATATCACCTGCACTGGATCAAGCAAGTTATATACAGTTTTAAGATGCTATTAAAGTGGCCTAATCGATTACTATGGACACTGTCAAACGTGTATGTCATCTTTTACCCGAGACAACATGGAGATGATATCTTTAAAATGGGTTTTGATTATGTAACAGTGCCTGCTTTCGGGGGAATTTCCACTCTCTGAGTTGAGATATTTTTTTTCACCAGTAATGTAATGAACATCACATGTTCATTATTATAAAGGCATGGCAGGAGTAACAAAATATCTTTGTTAAACATTGCAAGGAAAAATATTCATATCTTTTAAGGTACCAGGAACAGTTGGTCCTTAAGTGAGAACTTGAAAAACATCTTCAAATGAAGGTGTTTGAAACACCTTGAATCAGACAACCAACCTTCAACTAGGCAGTGATTCTTAAGTATGCTTGAAGCTGCATCTAAAGGTGAACAGACAACCAACCAACCAACCAGGAGACCTGGTCAAAGATAGGGCTGCGAGGACATTGATCATCGGAAAACCTCAAGGTATGGTATGGACCTAGCATAGTATGAAACCCTGCATAGTATGAGACTCGCTTTAGTATGAGACTCGCTCTAGTATGAGACCCGCTCTAGTATGAAGAGACCAACTCTAGTATGAGACCATCTCTTGTATACATGCCCTCTCTAGTATGAGACCGTATGAGACCTGCTTTTGTATGAGACCAGCTCTAGCATGAGACTAGCCCTAGTATGAGACCGACTCTAGTATGAAACCTACTCTCGTATGAGATCTACTCTAGTATGAGACCCACTATAGTATGAGACCCACTATAGTATGAAACCCACTCTAGTATGAGATCTACTCTAGTATGAAACCCGCTCTAGTACGAGACCTATGCTCTAGTTTGAAACCCACTTTATTATGAAACCTGCTGTAGTATGAGACCCAATTTAGTATGAAACCTGCTGTAGTATGAGACCCACTCTAGTATGAGGTCTACTCTAATATGAGACCCACTATAGTATGAGACTCGCTATAGTATGAGATCCATTATAGTATGAGACCTGCTATAGTATGAGACCTGCTATAGTAATAAACCCACTACAGTATGAGACCCACTATAGTATAAGACCTGCTATAGTATGAGACCCATTATAGTATGAGACCCACTCTAGTATGAGACCCGCTAAAGTATGAGACCTACTCTAGTATGAGATCTGCTCTGGTATCTAGTATAACATGAGAATGTTATTTGCATCATAGTTTATTTAGGAAACAATACTAAACTATATTGTGATTGTATATTTTGTAAATGAAATCTTCAACCATAATTACAATTCGTTTCTTGATTTTTATTTATATCATCCTAATATCGTCTCTGATTATATCACCCAGTTTTTACAGCCAATCACTGAAAATATCACCCAGTTTTTACAGCCAATCACTGAAAAGCCTAATAAGGCTGTTTGAAAGCAATAGATCCTGGGTTCTCATCTTTTAATACATAAAAGTTGAAAATCTATAAGAATATATTTAAAATTGCCCTCAGACATTTGATGCAATCCAGATGCTTTGGTTAAACATTTAATATTTAACTTTTGTGTGCATTAAGGCACTTTGCAGAATCTTTGCCTTTTATTTTTATCAGTTTTCAGTAACAGCCCGTTATATGGAATTCAGTTATATGGCCTTGGGGTCCGAATCCATAATTCACTGAAAGTTGCTCAACAAGTGGGAGCAGCAGTACAAAAAATCTAACCAAACTCTAGGAATAACCAAGTGTACTTTTGACTTTAAGGAAAAGAAGGTACAGTAGTCATTCAATTGTATAAATCTCTAGTGTGCCTCCACCTGGATTATTGCATCCAGGCATGGAGACCTCATCTTCAGAAGATATAGCTTCATTGGAAAAAGTTCAATACTGGGCAAGAAAAATAATTCCAGAACTAAGTCAACTCTAATACCAGGACAGATGAGGGCTACAGGGCTAACAACACAGCAAACCACATGATAGGGCTAATCTCATCGAAACGTTCAAAATATTGAACAGTTTGGAAGATTTTGGTTGGAGAATTTATTCTAAAGCTCGGATGTAACACAAGGAATAACAGTTTCAAGCTCACCAAGCCCGTTCTCAACAATAGCTCGTTCTCGACTCTCAATCGAGAATTCCGGGTTCGAATCATGGACGGGACAGAAATGGTTAGACATGTTCCGTATCGCCTATTGCCCCTGTCCACCCAGCAGTAAATAGGTACCCATGAGTCAGCTTGTTGTGGGGTTGCATCCTGGGGAGGGTCAATAATTCAACCCTGGAGGACGACCTCGATATAAGCCTAATATGTGCTTTATATATAAACTGACTGCCTGTCTCTCGACACAATGAATTATTCTTAACTATTAAGTCACAGTGTAGGACTCGAAACCGGAGATGCCTTTTCACACACACTTATAAACCCATGGAACCGCCTACCCGCAAAAGCCGTAAATGCCAAAAATCTGCTGAACTTTAAAATCCAACTTGAAAAAAATCATCAGGACAAATGGGGGGGGGGGTGACCTTTGACAAGCCACCGGCTTCCTGTCCTCGTCGAGGCTAATAGAATGTTAGTAGCCGTCAGGTAAATATACCTTTCTGGGCAAAGTGCCTCGTTTTGTTAGTTATTGTTCCATGGAATCTTTCCTTAGAGATGATGGCAGTTCCTTCAAACATAAAATTTGACCACCTCTGGGGGAAGCAAAAATGTTATCCACTACCTTCAGTTCAGGACTAAGTTATAAGATTTAAGAGTTAACACCAAATCTCCAATTTCAGGCCCGGCTGAGTATTCTGTCCAACGTGGTGCAAACTCTCTTCCTTCACCCACCCACCCTCTCTCTCCCTCTCCCTCTCCCTCTCCCTCTCCCCCTCTCCCTCTCCCCCTCTCCCTCTCTCTCTCTCCCTCTCTCTCCTGTATTAACCCCCCTCCCTCCACCCCCCTGCTCACATCAACCCCCCCTCCCCCACCCACACACCAACCCCCCTTCCCTCCCCCCCTCTCTCTCTCGCAGTGGTAATGACCCCCCCGTGAGGCGAGGCACTGGTAATGACCCCATGAGGCGAGGCACTGGTAATGACCCCGTGAGGCGAGGCACTGGTAATGACCCCCCGTGAGGCGAGGCACTGGTAATGACCCCGTGAGGCGAGGCACTGGTAATGACCCCGTGAGGCGAGGCAGTGGTAATGACCCCGTGAGGCGAGGCACTGGTAATGACCCCGTTAGGCGAGGCAGTGGTAATGGGAGCCACCCCGGACCCTGGACAGTAACTGCGTACAATTCACACTTTAACAGCGCTGAAAATTGTTTAACAGAACGTTCTCTTTCAATTGCCTCAGATAATATGGGAAGTTTTTGATTATGATAATTACCAGACCAGCAGGACAGACCGTGTGACTATTGCCCAAGAAATACCATAGTTAATGCTAAGATAATGGCCTGATTTTCTTTTCCGTGCGGTTCGCTAATAACTTGTCATTTGTTTTTATAATTGGTGCAACACTTGTTTATTTTTTGTATTAATTTGAGTGGAATATATATATATATATATATATATATATATATATATATATATATATATATATATATATATATATATATATATGTACCTAGTAGCCAGAACGCACTTCTCAGCCTACTATGCAAGGCCCGATTTGCCTAATAAGCCAAGTTTTCATGAATTAATTGTTTTTCGACTACCTAACCTACCTAACCTAACCTAACTTTTTCGGCTACCTAACCTAACCTATAAAGATAGGTTAGGTTAGGTTAGGTAGGGTTGGTTAGGTTCGGTCATATATCTACGTTAATTTTAACTCCAATAAAAAAAATTGACCTCATACATAATGAAATGGGTAGCTTTATCATTTCATAAGAAAAAAATTAGATAAAATATATTAATTCAGGAAAACTTGGCTTATTAGGCAAATCGGGCCTTGCATAGTAGGCTGAGAAGTGCGTTCTGGCTACTAGGTACGACATATATATATATATATATATATATATATATATATATATATATATATATATATATATATATATATATATATTTTATATTTTATTTATTTATATATACAAGAGTTCTTACATTCTTGTACAGCCACTTCCTTAATCCTATGTTCCCTGGAATATGTACCCATTTTACTGTAGAGTTAAACAGAGGCTACAGTTAAGGATTTGCGCCCAGTAAATCCTCCCTGACCAGGATACGAACCCAGGACTTGTCTTGGAAGCTAGACGTAGATATATAAGCATACTTAGCAGGAGGGTAAATATTTAAATGTTGTGGATTCCTTCTCACATTGGCCTGCAGGAACATGTGAAAGTTGACGCCCTTGCTAAGGCTGCTGTAAATAAAGACAGTACTGGACGGAATCTTGAGTTATCAAATACGTCCTTTAAAAGTGTCATTAGACGAGAACTCCGGGATGGGTTTGAAGAAAGTAGAACAGGGCAAACTGGAACTAGCAGGCCCATTACACACAGAAATCACTATAGCGTGATGTATCAAATGAACAAATCCACAAGGGTCGTGACGAGGATTCGAACCTACGTCCGAGATCTTCCCAGACGCTGCCTTAATCGACTGAGCTACGACATAATCAAAAGAATTGAAACCAGAAGTTGCACCTTACACATGCTCCTGTACACCCACACCACAACACATGCTCCTCTACACCCACACCACAACACATGCTCCTCTACACCCACACCACAACACATGCTCCTCTACACCCACACCTCAACACATGCTCCTGTACAAATATTCATATAACTTAAATGAGATATTAATGAATCTCGAGTGACACACTAGTCTTCCTTCAATGAGACACAAGTTTTCCTTGAATGAGACACGCTAGTGTTCCTTCAATGGGGCACACGGGTGTACTTTGAATGAGACACATGAGCGCACCTTGAATGGGACATAATTTCCACCCCTCGTTGTCCCGGGCTGCGAGTTCACATTATCATTCATCATACTACCGCCTGAGTCTGGCAATTTCTCATCTGCTTTTGCTTGGATAAACTTTGATTTGCATTTCGCAAACAAATTTATGATAACGAGGCAGCGAACTGGTCCGTAGCGACCAGGAAATGGTCGCTACGGAGAGTTATTGTCCTTACTGGAGGTAGGGTTGTGCTCGCTGGTTTGTGTACTTGCTGTTTGTGCTTGCAGGACCGTGCTAGCTCTTGGACGCCGCCTTTCTAATCGTTGGTTGTCTAATGTACTAACTTTCGACCTATTTTTCTTCATCATCTCTACTACATATATATTTCTCTCTAAAACACACACACACATAGGCCTCGCCGGCCTGTGTATGTGGGGCCTCTAGGCCGAGTGGACAGCGTTTGGGAGTCGTAGTCCTAAGGGGCCCAGGTTTGATTCCCGGCTGAGACGGAAACAAATGTGCAGAGTTTCTTTTATCCTGATGAAAGTTCACCTAGCAGTAAATAGGTACCTGGGAGTTAGATAGCTGCTTTCTGGGGATTTGTGTGTGATAGAGAGAAATACATGTAATAGATATAATAATGGAAAAAAATAGATTGGTTAGGAAGGCATGGTCCTAGAGCTAATAGGTCGATTCTGTAGACACAAATAGTAAACAAAAACAAACAAACAAACAAACAAACAGAGACAGAGAGAGAGAGAGAGAGAGAGAGAGAGAGAGAGAGAGAGAGAGAGAGAGAGAGAGAGAGAGAGAGAGAGAGAGAGAGAGAGAGAGAGAGAGAGAGAGAGAGAGAGAGAGAGAGAGAGAGAGAGAGTGAGTGTAGCCTGTACCAGTTGTCTAACTCAAAGGTATATATTTACTGCTAGATGAGCAGGGGGCCATCAGGTGAAATTAACTCTGCTCATTTATTTCTGTCTCGGCCGGGAATCCCCCGCTGCATCTAGGGCACGAGTCCAGCCCCGCAGGAGTTCGAGGTGTGTATGATTTCCAATAGTTGTCAAGTTGGTTTGTGATATTTATTAATGAATTCTGTTGGTTTACTTTTAAATTTGATTGTAATAGAAATATCATGTACATGTTAGAGGAGGATTCGAACCGGCACACTGGGTACTCCAATGCACATGCTTCACTACACACAGAAATCACAATAGCCTGATGCGTCAAATGATGTATCACGCAGGAGAGAAAGCAGGATCCGTGGTCGGTCAAGTTGATTTCCCGGTAGCAATTCTTATACCATGTCGTAGCTCAGTCGACAACCAGTTCTCACACTAGGCTGTTTAAAGCAGCGGCCGTCCTCCCCAGACGCATTCATCAATTTAATATACTGTATTAAAAATTGGTTTGTTCTCATATATAAAT